GATAAGACATAAGATAAGATAAGACATAAGATAAGATAAGACATAAGATAAGATAAGACATAAGATAAGATAAGACATAAGATAAGATGCAATGAGATAAGACATAAGATAAGATGTGATAAGACATAAGATAATATGTGATAAGATAAGACAAAAGATAAGATAAGACATAAGACAAAAGATAAGATAAGACATAAGATAAGATGCGATAAGATAAGACATAAGATAAGATGCGATAAGATAAGACATAAGATAAGATGCGATAAGATAAGACATAAGATAAGATGCAATAAGATAAGACATAAGATAAGATGCAATAAGATAAGACATAAGATAAGATAAGACATAAGATAAGATGCAATAAGATAAGACATAAGATAAGATAAGATAAGACATAATATAAGATAAGACATAAGATAAGATGTGATGAGATAAGACATAAGATAAGACGTGATAAGATAAGACATAAGATAAGATGCGATAAGATAAGACATAAGATATGAGGCGATAAGATAAGACATAAGATAAGATGCGATAAGATAAGACATAAGATATGAGGCGATAAGATAAGACATAAGATAAGATGCGATAAGATAAGATAAGACATAAGATAAGATAAGATAAGATAAGATAAGATAAGATAAGATAAGATAAGATAAGATACAATAATCTTTATTGTCATTGCACAGTCCTGCTTCGTAGTGCAACGAAATTGTGGTGTCGTCCCACTGCGGTGCCCATACTAGAATACAAAGCAAAGAAGATAATATAAATACGATAAAAGGTTAAAGTGACTGACACGTTAAAGAGAAAAATGAAAGAAATAAAAATAAATTCAATGATAATAATACAAAGTTCTACAGTTCTCAAAGTCATGACGACGAGACTGTTGTTATGAAGATGGTAAAAACAGAAGTTGGCAAGCCAGTGACCGGAAGTCTCACACAAAGAAAAAGAAATCGACTGTTCATTTCTCCGTGAAAAACAAGGCGGGGAAAACGGAATTTCACCCCCCTTTCTATACCAAAAGTGTCTTAATTAATTCTAAATTTAATTTTTGCATGATTTTCTAGCAGGACTGTGAAGGGAAAAGTTGTGGGGATAAAATAAAGGTTTAGTTTGAAACCAGATGATTCTCCTTATTGATGATTATTTTTATATTGATGTTAAATATTTTTGGATTTGCATATTTCTGCGGTGTGGAGTCATGGGGGAATGAACACGCCTGAACCACTCCTAAATATGCCTGAATGTAAAAGGCCTTCATACAGTACCACTCCTCTTCACACCCTCCTCTTCCTCTTTCACCTCCTTTAATCTTTGTATTTAATCAAACCAGATGAGGCTGAATGATGATACACAGCACAGGGACAGCTGTTTAATCAGACTGTATTAAAGAGATTTTTGAGAAGGGTTTGTGTAAAGTTGCAAAACTTGTGAAGGCCTGAATCTAAAAATTAGAATTATTTGATGTGTGTATTAAGATAAAAAATCAATTGCAATCATATTTTGTTCTTATAAACAAAGAATATCGTGACAGAAAAAGCAGGCGTTTGAAGCTAAATGTTATTTTGTCGGTGTCTAATTCGTTATGAAATTAAAGTAAATCTGCAGAGACACCGATCAGCCGAACGTTTGCTGGAGCAGCAGACGGTTTGACCCAGAGATGAATGTTTAACAGCATCGACTCAGCGGGGTCTGAACGTCGCACAACTCCAACAAACAGAAACACGTCTGCTTTAACAACTCCTGCAACATTTTACGCATCGACTTTGGCGCGAAAAACAAGCTTTGTTCGAACGAGAGTGGTGAAAAACAGTCAGCGCCATTATCAGCGTACACGAACATCACATATTTGAATTTACGTGCTGAAAGTGTCGCCAGCAGATGCGATGTAATAATAAAGACATACGGCCGGTTGAGGAGCCTCAGAGAGGAGCCGGCCGTAAAATCTGCTCCCTGACAGGAAGTGACAAATAAAAACTACAAACTGTCTCCAAGTAGCGGTGAGCTAACACAGCGTCTGTTAAAAGCTGGACTCGCTCACTGTACATTTTTTCGTCTGTTCTCCAGTTGATATAAATTATCAGACTGGCAGCGAAGCACTTCTGAAGAATGACAGACGTGCCTCCGCTGAAAGACGAAGACGGCTGCAGAGAATCATTTTAGAGATATTCTCTGGCAAGACTCTCTTTCACCTGATCTTTAAAAGCAACATATAAAAAAGGTATCATAAATATGTGACAGATAGCAGTCTGGGTGTAAAGGTACTACAATAATTGTGTTCCTACATTTTAAAAAAATTGCTGAACTTGTTCCCTGCACCATGCATTTTGTTAGCTATGAAAACAGCCGAAGTGACTGCAAACAGGTCGACAATATTGATATCCATGGAAAATCTGTATGTGATGGAGAGATCTGACAGTTTTAATATATGTATTTACACTTTATGTGTTCCACAGCTATTCTTGATCTCCTGTTTGTTCCTTCTTTCCTCCTAAATACCTGCTCTGAAATTCTGAAATTGTCTGATTCCACCGCATTTGTTTACCGACACAGATGACAGTCGGCCTGATGTAGATCAATCACGTGACTCCAGCTTCTGTGAGCTTATCTCAACGTGTTCAGGCGAATGTTTTGTTTATATTGAGCGCTGACCTGCATTTTAGATCTGAAAAATGACTGAAGTAAACTCTTTCAAGCTGCACCTGTTTTCATGCTTCTTCGAGTTTCTTTAATGAAGAGGAATAACCAACATTTGGTAAAAAGATAGGTCAAAGGAATCTGAAAGAAATCATGAAACTAGAAAATTAGCATTTTTGCGTGAATGCTTAATGCTGAAAAGTTTTAGGTAAAGAGCTAAAAAAGCTGAGACTAGCCTAAATATAGCTATAAAACAAGTAGCTGAAATTAGAACAAAGAAACAGAATGAGCATATGTCTAATGAAGCTGTAAGCAGCTGAAATTTACCACAAAAGTTGAATTTATCTGAAGGAAGCTCAATGAGTTAAAAAAAAAAAGCTAAAAGCACAAAAACAGCTTAAAAGCGCAAAAAGAAGCTGGAAGAAGCACAAAAAAGTTTAAATTAGCAGAAGAATAGTAGAAAAGGTCAGAATCATGCAGAGCCTGCAACTGAAAATAAGGATGGAGGACCTCACTTTAGTTTATTAGTTTGTCGCGCTAGCACTGAGCTAATACATGTAAGGCTATATAGCGTCGGTGCTAGAGCGAAGGCTAACAGGCTAAGCTGAGGTTCTTCTTCCATGAAGCAGCTCTGTTGTCCTCCATCCATATTTTCAGTTCCAGGCTGAGTCATTTCTACCTTCTCCTCTCTGTCAACGCTCTCTGGTTTCATTTAAAAGAGTCGATCATCAGATATTGTCCAAGATTAACCTTCAGGGTGGATATAGCTCGCTAGCAGCCTCGCACCGAGGACCTATCCATGTCATCATTTACCCAGAATGCTTTGTTTGTAAATAAAATGGCCCCGTCCGTGTAATATATTTTAAACTTTTAGCTTAAAAATTATAAAAACTAAACAGCCTACAGTATTTTTACAGTCTTTATTTTATAGTTAAAATATGTTTATCAAATAAAGTCTAATGTTACAACTAATCGGGGATCCCTTTAAAATAGTTCAGACGAACTGCAGTTTAGCTCGCCCAGCTGCCCACAGCTTCAAACCATGATGCTCTGGTATGAAAACAGCTGTCCCCTCTCGTGACGTAGCAGCGACGTGCCTCAACCGGCCCGTCATCCTGCGGGGGGCATTTAATTTTTAAAGGTCCGATTCGGACAGCTGGGTATGTTCATACTGCCCGGGCGTGTGTTTGTAGCACACAGGCTGCCTTTAACTAAACCCACTCAGTCAGGATGAGAGAATAAATATCTCCAATTCAATTCACCTTTAATTCAACAGGAACAGTTTTACTGAAGAGCAGAGGGTCTGGAAGAATCATGGGGGCTTTTATAGCCAAGATGCTGCTTCCGACTGTCAGCAGCCTGGTGTTCCTGCCCACAGCCAGCGTGGCCGCCAAGAGGGGCTTCCACATGGAGGCCATGGTCTACTTCTTCACCATGTTCTTCACCGCGGTGAGAAAATGTTTGCTTCACGTCTCCTTACAGAGACCGGACGGTTGTTTCTGCAGTCCATCCTGGTGAAATGAGCCAGATGTGTCTGTGTTCCTGCAGATCTTCCATGCATGTGACGGTCCGGGCCTGTCCATACTGTGCTTCATGAGGTATGACGTTCTGGAGTACTTCACTGTTTATGGGACGGCGCTGTCAATGTGGGTCACACTGATAGGTAAGACTTCAGGAAATCAGTGACTTGTGGTGCTTTGATTAATCTTTCTGCAAAACTGGAACTTGTCTGTTTGATTCTGTTGATATATTTATTTTAAAATTGTATTTTTCTGACGTACAAGAAGACCAAAAACAAGCAGGCAGCTCGCCCTGCTGCAGTTGTTGCTAACATATGTTTTGTCTTTGAGTTCTGAACACATGTGCTCAGAAACATTTGCCACACACACACACACACACACACACACACACACAC